AATGTTATAGTTAGGTTGAATCAGTACTGCCATATTGTAACTCTCAATCTACTGTGTACAATTTCTAAATGACTGCTCATTATATATATTATTTACTGTTTAATACACAGTAACTTCCCAGTGTTATTTGAAGTGTAATGCGTCGTGGGCTCCTCCAGTTTATGTGTCATTAATATGCGGCACCAATAGTTCTCTCCTATATTTCGACATCCATAATTATATTCCCCTTCTATGTCTAACATCATCTGTTCAAAATGCCAGATGCATATACAGTTTATATTTCCGTGCAGTAGCGTAGCGTACATGTAGCTTAGTCACAAAACGGTTCCTAGAGTTAACACAACTGTTTCAAGCAAGATTTATTACTAGGTTGGTTATTCCATACTTTCCGACAGTCCACCAATCAAAGGTTATATGTGCAGCTTTACCTTCCGTGTGGGCTTACAGCATAGGCTATAACAACGCATTCCATATTTCTTAGGTTTTATCTTCATCAAGTAAGTATTTGAATCCCTCATATAGTTGCATACGCTGCAACACAGCCTATACCACAATTTCATTACCGTAGTCATTTAAATACTGTAAAAGTCATCTTTTATACTTCATAATAACGTACATTCAAACGCGCACCGTTCAAGTATACAATTACCGTATTCACTCCATTAGCTGTTATGGTATAGCTCCGTATATATGTAGTCAATAGCAACATAGCCGCCGTGATTCATTACCGTAGTCACCAAAGTAATCACTACTAAAACTAATAATGACACTAACTAAAACCGAGCTATATCTTCTACCGCGTCCATTCGTATCTTTATTTGGATCAAGTATTTACCTTCCGTATTAGCCGAAATTATTATGTTGTGATAATTATTACTGAAACCACAAATATTAATGTTTACCGTCTTTTCATAAGTAAATGTCATGTTCCTCATCTTAGCAGTTTGTGCAGTCTACCGTACATGCTCCATTAAAATATTACGACTACTCAATTTAGCTGTTAAGGAATGTTATTTAGCATTACCGTTATTATTCTAGTAAATACTGCATTTGTTGTATAATGTTACCGTACATACTCCAATTTAAATACATTGCCTTTATTATTATGCCTTTATTAGATGGACAATGTGTTAGCATATTATTATCATTATTATGATTGTACGTCACTATTATATATTAATTGATGTAACTTGAATAATATGACACTTGCTTGAATAAACCCTAAGGACCTCACAGCTCTCTTCTCTCTTGTTTCAAGGCTCGCTCCCAATAGCTAATTCCCCAAACCGAGGCCTGACAGTTATTGGGATCACCCAAAAAGGCTGTCTTAGTAACATTGATTCAGATATGATCAGATTAAGCTCAAGGCAGGTTTTTATATCTATAGAGACAGTTTGATGAATTGAAGCAACTCTGAGTAGACATTATAGTTGATAGTTGACCATGATAGTTGAATATCGGAATTCTTGTTCTTGTTATCGTAAAACTCTAAATGTTTTAGGGGCGGTCGGGTAGCCTAGTGGTCAAAGCGTTCGCTCGTCACGCCGAAGACCCGGGTTCGATTCCCGACATGGGTACAATGTGTGAAGCCCATTTCTGGTGTCCCCCGCCGTGATATCGCTGAAATATTTCTAAAAGCGGCGTAAAATCAAACTCACACAGTCACTAAATGTTACAAATAGGCAGGTCCAGATAGGTTGTAGTCAACACATTAAACAATATGAATGGCCTTTTTATATAATGACTTTATAACAGATTTTACAGGAAATCATATAAATGATTCTGTGGACATGATCTTAGTCTTGTTGCAGGCAAAAGTTGACCAAGCTGACACATCCCTTGTTAAGTTATAAATATATAAAAATATTAAAATGTGAACGACCCGGGTTTATTTTCAATTACGAGTATTTTAAATCATTTATCACCTGCTCGTGGGTTTCATCGAAGTGGTAAACGTCTAAGACCTGCATCACTTCGGGCTTTCCTCCCACATTAAGCTGACACGCCGTGATATAACTGGAATACTGTTAAAAGCGGCGTTAAACCCAACTCACTCACTCACTCACTATTGAGGGAGTCTTCATCATTAAACTACAGGTAAATATTGTTTAAGCTTGTACATCATCTTTAAATAGGCTGTACATAATGTTGATTTCTCATATAAGCACTAAACGACTCGTGGTCATCGTTTATTAACGCGTCCCTGATGGTGTATTCTCCCTGCATAGTTTTATTGTACAATAAACAACTCCTACTCGTCGTTTACTTCTTAATTAAAATGTTTTCAGCAAATGTTATTATGTCAGTTTGCATTCTGTAACCTAATAAAGTTTGTATTGAGTTGTACCTTGGGCGGTAGTGGTATATGCATGTTAACTCGTTCGAATATCCAGGGTTTTCTGAAAATATACTCTTAAAAAAGAAACTTGACATAGATGTAAAACCACTTTTTGCCAATTATCTAAAATAATTACATTAAATTAGAACCAAATAAGTCAAACAGAAAGATGATGTGTCTATAATTCGCGAAAACACATGCAAAGCACATAAACGTAGCGTTCGGGGATCAATTTTACAGCTTCATCCAAACGCAACCGCCTGTAAAATACCTGCAGCACAGGACCCCTGCTGAATGGGTATAAAAATCCACATCAAAGGCTGTTCATACAGTCCTTATAACGGCAGTAGAGGCGGTGACAGAATGCCAAGACTGAATGCAGCTCAACGGAACAACCCCATTGGGAGATTACAAGCTGGAGCAAGACGTGGCCGGGCACTTCGGCCTATCCAGACAGACAATCTCCGCACTGTGGACACGATACAACAACACCAACAAGACCAAGCCAAGACCAAGACCAAGACCAAGACCAAGACCAAGCCAAGACCAAGCCAAGACCAAGACCAAGACCAAGACCAAGACCAAGGGTGACAACCCAAGCACACGATCGATACATCCGGCTTCTACACCTCCAAGACCGCACTACCACAGCCACGTCTACAACCACACAGATCCCTGGGGTATGCAGAATATCAGATCAAACGGTACGCAACAGATTGAGGGAGGCTGGACTTTTTGCACGAAGACATGTTCGACGTCATGTATTGACCCCACGTCATCTGGCGGACCGTCTGCTCTGTGCTAACAGAGGGTTAGATGGGCACGTGCAAGGTGGAGAAATGTACTGTTTACTGACGAATCCCGTTTCCTACTCACACGTGCTGATGGGAACGCGAGTGCCTACAGACGTCGGGGTGAACGTTACGCCTCCAACTGTGTGCAGCAGGTTGTCCCATTTGGCGGCGGGAGTGTCATGGTATGGGCCGGAATTCATCACGGTGGTAGGACGCCTCTCGTGCATGTCGCAGGTACATTAACAGGTGTGCGTTACAGAGACTTGATCCTACAGCCTTACGTTCTTCCTCCCGTCAACGTTCATGGCGGACAGTTCCAGGAGGACAACGCGCGCTCGACCACATATTGCACGTGCTTGTCAGGACTTCTTACCGCACAACAACATCCAGACATTACCTTGGCCAGCCCGGTCACCAGATTTGTCCCCGATTGAGCATCTGTGGGACGAGTTAGATCGACGCGTTCGCAGAAGGAATCCACCGCCCCAAACACTTCCGGCGCTTCATGATGCACTTCAGCATGAATGGCAGCACATCCAACAGCGTGTTATTGACAACTTGATTGCTTCTATGGGTCGTCGGTGTCAAGCGGTGATTGATGCACGTGGTGGGCACAACCGATACTGACATTTTCTGTACCCCTGTGACATTAACTGTATCGTGTACGTATGTCTGTCTAGGTGACACGATTAATGTTTTGAACATTGTGTACATTGATCTTCAAACAGTGTTTCAATTCTGGTTTCTGTGTCCTATTTTAAAAACAATCGCATTATATAACATTTTGAAAGTCAGTGTCAAGTTTCTTTTTTTGAGTGAGTGAGTGATGAGTGAGTATGGTTTTACGCCGCTTTTAGCAATATTCCAGCAATATCAAGGCGGGGGACACCAGAAATGGGCTTCACACATTGTACCCATGTCGGGAATCGAACCTGGGTCTTCGGCGTGACGAGCGAACGCTTTAACCACTAGGCTACCCGACTGCCCTTCTTCTTTTGAAGAGTATACATACAGGTATGTTTAGACCACATGTCCGGAAGCGTTATGATCACTTACCTAAAAAAGGCTTCACGTCCAAACACGCGGGGTCGAGACACGGGCAGCCTCAGGGCAAAGGCGACCAATCGACTGAGTGTTTAAACCATAAAAGTAGATGAGTCAATCAATCTTTATCCAGGCCCTTAAGAGAACACAGGCCTGTGGGACCTATCACAGAGGCGTTGCACACAATTCTAACTATTATTTAATAAATCGGTTCTGTATGACAGTGCGTGGTATATATACATGAACATTATTTGTGCAGTTAATTTATCCATACTATTTAACAGATGTCTAAATTTCATTGAAGTAATAAACATGAATACATTTTTTTCTTACTGTGTAGTTACATGAACATACATTTGTGATGTTCAACCTCGACAGCTTTGAGGATGTGTATATCGCTGAGACACACATATTGCATGTAATATGTTGATTAATATTCCATTTATGTCCCATTCATTTTGTGGGACTACTTTTTTTATCGGCAGCAGCTGCTTCGGCCATGAACATATCTTAAAACATTAAACACCGTTTTTCGGCTTTGATTCCATAAAAAAAATATACTAGACTTAATGATCAATTACGAGGTGAGGTGAAATAGGATTTCACATCCCCTTGAAGATTATTGCATGGATATAACGACGAGCATGTACGTGTGTATTTGTGTGGCTTCTTGTACTAGTCTGTACTAATGCCGGTTTTATAGTGCTAGCTCACTGAGATACAAAGCTGCAGTTTCCCATGAATACCCCACTCAGACATTGTATACTGACAAGCCCTTGTTTTATCCATCTAATGCCGAGCGCAAGAGAGGTTAAAAAGTACCATCTTTGAAGGTCTTTGATATGACGTGGACGGGAATCGAACCACCACCCTTCCGCTCTCCGGGCGAACGCTTCATCCACTATACCAGAGGTATCACTAAAAGAAATTATCTTTAGTTTATGGGTGGTAAGAAATGTTTAATCTACCAGGGTAACTTACTTCGGAGCCGCCCCTGGTGGCATGATACGAGCCTATCGTTGGCGAGTTATTGATTACACCAAGCATGGCCTGCCATTGGTCAGTTCCACCTACTACCCGCACATGCCTATGTTGATGCCACTTCACTGTAGAATAGACAGCACAGCAGCATGGACAACACTTCAACCGTGAGTTTTAACATCTCTGACAATTTACCCCCTCAGGAAATAGCCACAGAATGCAACGCTACTAACAGGTCGTCTGGATGCAACGGTCAAGACGCTAACCAAACTAATCATTTGTTTGAAAGCATTCTGCACATAACAGAAATCACTTTCACGTGCTTTGATGGTCTAAACGTACTTTGTAACGCTGTGTTGATGTTGCTGATATACAAGGCCGCGACAAAGATGGAAGCTTCTGGACGCCTCCTCACGAACCAGGTTGTGGCTGACACCGGAATTGGACTATCCTGGCTTATTCTGTATGGGATCCTGTACATCAATCCCGGCAGAAATATCCTGCAGACGGCCATCCTTGTACAACGGGTCGTTCTGTTCATCTTGACTTGTGAGTCTGGACTGTCACTGGCCATGACACTCTTCGCCCTCCACATAGCCATCTGCAATCCTATTCTCTACAAAGTCTACAACGAACCAAAACAAATCACCATCTTCATGGTAGTATCCTGGCTCGTGGTCATCGGATCTTTCAGTCTGTCATTTGCAGCGGACAACTTCTTCATTCTGGAACGTGATTCTATTTTCGTTCAGATGAATGTTAGTAAACAGAATGCCTGGTTTGTATCTCTAGCTGGGTTCGTTAGCGTCATTCTACCACTTGCAATGACTACCACCGCCTTCACACGCATATGCCTCCGTATGCCCAAGGGAGAGAACGTTTCCATCACATCCGCCTCCACTACCAAGCGGTATGTCCGTCAAGCAAAGGGTATCCTTCTCGTATACATCACTTACACAGTAACATTTATCCCTCTGTAAGTTTTCAATGTATTCAACATTCATTTTAAAAGTGACAATGACATTCTTTTCCCCATTACTGGAACCAGCTTCGCTTTCCTGAACTTTGGGTACCATGTTTTTAAGCTACCCTTGTTTCTGTTTGCTTTCACATGCTATCGTCGTGCTGCCTCTCGACTCTTCTGTCGACGCCTAGCATCGAGATCTTCCTCTGCCGATCGAGGTAAATTGCCACAAAGGAAATACAAGACTGCAACAAACACCAACCACACACTTGATGACAGTTTGCCAGATCTTCTCCGATACAGATGGATGAGACACCAGAGATGAAGGGGAATATTGGAAAAGTTAACCATGGATTCACCACACCTGTTCATTGTACCATGGGGACACGGCGAACAAACGGTGAAACGATGACGGCAGTTCCACAACACAAGATGACGTCAGGTCCATTACAAACAATGAAGTCAGTAATAGACAGGTAAGTAATCAAGTGTTTTCTCATACCGAAATTCATTTATAAAGTGTTACCGTTCTTCCTGTCAGCAAACGTTTGAAAGAGACGTTCTTCAGAAAGATCATGAGCCGTGTATGCTACTCGCACACATGTTGTTCAAGTCAAGTAATATGGATTAACCATTGAAATATTTAAGAGAGATATGACAATTTTGTTTGCTGACTCAGGAGATTGCGTGTCACCGTATCCCTCAAACTATTGATCAACAGGTTGAGACATGCCGCCACCTGGATTTTTGCAGAGTGCGATGTTAAACAACAAACAATCCACTGCTGCTTCCTCCACTACTACCGTAGATGTCTGCACTTTACTTTCTACACCTACCAACTGTTATGTCCTTTCTCTTCTCCTACCCACAAACCAGACACAAATAACAAACACATCCTGTACGTCCCCTGCGGTACTAGCCAACGGCCTTTACTTGTCTTCACCATACACATGTTATTGAATATTGTATTCCTCCACGAACCCCTCAGGGTCCAACCGATAACCTTCTGAGCTCCCTTGCTCTGACGCCACAGTGACGTATGTATCTTACTGTAGGATTATTGGCGACGAGCCTTTTCCGCAACACCCCGTCTCCAACTTCTGAAATTAAATCTGCATGTTTTATGGCTGGACCGCAGGCGAGAATGAACTTCCCGCCCTATGACGTCACTCCTATACTCCATACAAGCGCCCTCTATACATGAGTTACACCCCTGGTTTGCGCACGAAGAGAATCAATTTCGTTCTAATTCATTCTATTCCAACGAAAGACATTTCATTCCTATCAGCTTCTACCATCAATATGCACCAAACTCGTCTAGAATAAACTATTGCCATAAATATTTATTGAAAAACAGTCACTTCGCTCTCTACCATCAATATGCACCTAACTCGCCTGGACTAAACTATTGCCCTATATATTTATTGAAGAACAGTCACTTCTCTACCATCAATATGAGCGTGGCTGACCCCAAAACTGGAATATGACCATGTATATTTATTGAAGAAAAGTCACTTCGCTTTCAACCATCAATATGAGCGTTACTGACCCAACAACTGGACTATTACCGTGTATATTTATTGCAGAAGGTCACTTCGTTCTCTGCCATCAAAATAAACGTAACTGCCTCATAATCGAGACTCTTGCTCTGTATATTATTGAAGAAAAGTCCCTTCGCTTTTTAACCATCAATATGAGCGTGACTGACCCCAAAAATGGACTTTTACCATGAATATTTATTGAAGAAAAGTCACTTCCCACACTACCAACATAAATAAACGTAACAACCTCATAATCTTGGCATCTGTATAATATTGAAGACCAGTTACTTCGATATCACCCATCAATATGAGCGTAACTGACCCCACAACTTGACTATTACCATGTATATTATTGAAGAAAAGTCGTTTCGCTTTCTACCATCAACATGAGCGTAACTGACTCCATATATTTATTGAAGAAAAGTCACTTCACGTTCTACCATCAATATGAGTGTAACTAACCAAACACCAGGAGTATTACCATGTATATTATTAAGGAAAATCACTTCGCTTTCTACACATCAATATAAGCGTAACTGACCCCAAAACTAGACAAATGCGCTCTATATTATTGAAGAAAAGTCACTTCCCTTTCTACCATCAATATGAGCGTAACTGACCACGAAACAGGACTATTACCATGTATAATTTTGAAGAAAAGTCACTGCGCTCTCTAACATCAATATGAGCGTAACTGACCCAACAATTGGACTATTACCATGTATATTTTAAAGAAAAGTCACTGCGCTCTCTACCATCAATATAAGCGTAACTGACCCCAATACTAGACTTTTGTGTTGTATATTATTGAAGAAAAGTCACTCCCCTTTCTACCATCAATATGAGCGTAACTGACCTCGAAACAGGACTATTACCATGTATAATTTTGAAGAAAAGTCACTGCGCTCTCCACCATCAATATAAGCGTAATTGACCCCAAAACTAGACAAATGCGCTCTATATTATTGAAGAAAAGTCACTTCTCTTTCTACCATCAATATGAGCGTAACTGACCCACCAACTGGAGTATTACCATGTATATGTATTGAAGAAAAATCCCTTCGCTTTCTATCATCAAACGAGCGTAACTGACCCGAAAACTAGACTATTGCGCTGATTCTTATTTAAGAATAATCCCTTCGCTTTCTACCATCAATACGAGCGTAACTGACCCCTAAATAGGACAATTGCTCTGTATATTTTTGAAGAAAAGTCACTGCGCTCTCTACCATCAGTATAAGCGTAACTGAACCCAATACTAGACTATTGCGTTGTATATTATTGAAGAAAAGTCACTTCCCTTTCTACCATCAATACGAGCGTAACTGACCCAACAATTGGACTATTACCATGTATATGTATTGACGAAACGTCCCTTTGCTTTCTACCATCAATATGAGCGTAACTGACCACGAAACAGGCCTATTACCATGCAAATTTTAAGGAAAAGTCACTGCGCTCTCTACCATCAATATAAGCGTAACTGACCCCAATACTAGACTATTGCGTTGTATATTATTGAAGAAAAGTCACTTCCCTTTCTACCATCAATATGAGCGTAACTGACCACGAAACAGGACTATTACCATGTATAATTTTGAAGAAAAGTCACTGCGCTCTCTACCATCAATATAAGCCTAACTGACCCCACAAATGGAGTATTACAATGTATATCTATTGAAGAAACGTACCTTCGCTTTCTACCATCAATGAGTGTAACTGACCCCAAAACAGGACTATTACCATATTTATGTATTGAAGAAACGCGCCTTCGCTTTCTACCACTAATATGAGCGTAACTAACACAACTGGAGTATTACAATGTATAGTTCTTGAAGAAATGTGTACAACTAGTTGTACCGTGTGAATGCCCCTTAACACAACAACTGGAGTATTACAATGTATAGTTTTTGAAGAAACGTCACTTCGCTTTCTACCATTAACATGAGCGTAACTAACCCAACAACTGGACTATTACCCTGTATATTTATTGAAGAAAAGTCACTTCCCACTCTACCATCAATATGAGCGTAACTGACTCCAAAACTGGACTATTACCCTGTATATTTATTGAAGAAAAGTCACTTCCCACTCTACCATCAATATGAGCGTAGCTGACCCTAAAACTAGAAAAGTGCCCTGTATATTATTGAAGGAACGTCACTGCGCTCTCTACACATCAATATGAGCATAACTGACCAGAAAAACTAGTGTATTGCACTCTATGTTATTGAAGAAAAGTCACTTCGCTTTCTATCACCTATATGATCGTGGCTGACCCCAAAACTGGACTATTACCATGTTTATTTACTGAAGAAAAGGCACTTCGCTTTCTACCATCAATCTGCGCGGAACTGACCTCAAGATTTTCCTGTTGCTTTTTATGCTTATTGAAGAAAAGTCACTTGCCTCTCAATACCAATTTTTTCTAATTAATTTATAATGAGTGTCAGACATTAACATAAGCACTCAGTGCAGATCGAGAGATATCTGCAGGCTGTGATTGGAGGATATTGTGTAAGATTTGTATGTCTTTTAAATGTACATCAATCTAGTTATTAAAACTGACCATGTTTTTCAACATGATGACGTATGCTGAATGTGACCATAGATATTTTCAAGTAGGTGACATTTGGTGCTAAGCTCAGGGTGGTGTGTTTAGCTTTCTGTACTTGGAAAAGGAGTTGGCTAAGCTAGTCATTTTATTGTTTTAATTGCTGCTCTAAGGCCAAACTGTGCACACACGTACAGGTAATAGCAGATGAATGCTTAGTTATTTAAGAAATATATAACGTTACTATAGAAGTCTATGGGAAAACATTTGGTTTGTGTGTAACCTTGATACAAATGTTTTATTCCTACCATATGATATATACGATACGGAAGTACACGAAGGTAATAATCGCTGTATCATATATTGTCATTATTAAAGTTTAAGACAGATTGCAATTCACTATAAAACTTTAGAAACTGCGTAGGGATATGAAGCCTCATTTTAACCGCCCCACTTTTGATATACTGCCAACTTATTTGCATCAATGGTTGTTTACATAAACACTCACACATAGGGAAACCACTATCTAATTATTTATGATCTAATGATTCAAATGAACGTTCTGCAATACTGGTGAGAATGTGATTCCCAACTCTATGTAAAGAGCTTACTTAAAGTAATTCCCAATAGGTGGCCTCATTTGCATGTTGATCAGATCGTCATACAAAGTGTATCCGTTTGGTTTATCGCCACGATAACACTATTCATTATATGATAAACACTGATGTTTATTTGAAAACTCCCATGTTGGCGCTCCCCTGCCTTATGTATACTTGTATAATTGCTAAAACGGCGCCAAAACACACTCACTCACTCACTGTCCATGACAAAAAAATAAGGTGTGAAAACATGTTGTGATATTTACAATGAAATCCATTTCGATATCAAATTGACACGTTCATCCTTTCTTTTATTACCAGCCTCTCGACAGTATCCTTTCAATGAAATCATCGCTTCATATGTGTATGCTGCATCTGAACAGGTTCCTGTATCTGTTGTTCTGTTGTTCTCTTACAGGTCGCCACCTAAATGGCTTTGAACAACGTTACAATCCATGTTGTATCCAATTCGGACAGACTCTTTCTGCTGATACAGACAGGGGCGTGAATGAAGCTTACACACCTGTTTGTATATCGACGGGCAAGTTGGCAGTCCCAGCAAATGTCATCCAACATTTTCCATGTATATCTTACAGGCAATAATTAAAACGCATGAAGCTAGTCAAATAGACACCTGACCCCAGAGTGTAGTCCTCCCGTTATGGTGTTTGGAACGCTTACATCAGTTCTAAACCCTGATACACTGATACAAGGCTGATACACGTGCTTCACCAACCAGCATCACTGTTCCAGATACTCGCGTCCTGCTTTGCTGACTTGTTATGGGAAGATTTGATATGCATCTGTCTCATATGTATGGTTTGTTCTTCAGGGTACTGTGATCTTTCGGCGGAAATGGAAATGTTTCTGTGCGGCAAATACGGGAAACTGATATGATCCCTTATCAAGCTTCCGTCACATTACCAAAATCTTCCACCCTCCCACAAAAGACCTGTAATTCCACCCCCCAGCCTCCAACACAACCCTTGAAACACCTAACAAAGTAGAGACAATTTGTTGATAACAACGTCTTTAATTACTGTAGAGGCGACGTTTCAGAAAAGGTCCTTATGCCGTTGACAAGCAAGACCTAAACAACAACAGAAACTCTTGCCTCCTCCCTCCCACACATCACCTGAAACTCTATCCCCAAGCATCCTAAACCACAACTGAAGTTCTACCCTCCTCCCTTACTTACGCAAGACCTGACATTCAAGCCCTAATCCTCAAACGCAATAACTGAAACAACAGCTTCTTCAATCGACACTTTCATATCCTCCACCCTCCCACACGCCGGGAGCTCACACCTCCACACACAACATGTAAACCTGATCCTCAAGCCTCAACCCTGATAACATGTACACCTGAGGCTCGAGACTCCACCCTCACAACATGTACACCGGAAGCTCGAGACTCCACCATTTCAACATGCAAACCTGAAGGTCCAGACTCAACCCTTACAACATGTACACATAAAGCTCGAGACTCCACCCACACATGTACACCTGAACCCCAAGCCTCAACCCTGACAACATGTACACCTGAGGCTCGAGACTCCACCGTCACAGCATGTACACCTGAAGCTCGAGACTCCACCGTTACAAAATGTACACCTAAAGCTCGAGACTCCACCCACACATGTACACCTGAAGCTCAAACCTCCACTTACACATGTACATCTGAAGCTCGAGACTCCACCCTCACAACATATACACCTGAAGCTCGATACTCTACCCTTAAAGCCTATACACCGGAAGCTCGAGACTCAACCCTTACATCACGTACACCTGAAGCTCAAGACTCCACCCACACATGTACACCTGTAGCTCGAGACTCCACCCACACATATACACCTGAAGCTCGAGACTCCACCCACACATGTACACCTGAAGCTCGAGACTCCACCCACACATGTACACCGGAAACTCGAGACTCCACCCTTACAACATGAAAACCTGAAGCTCGAGACTCCACCCACACATGTTCACCTAAAGTTCGAGACTCCACCCTTATAACATGAAAACCTGAAGCTCGAGTCACCACCCTTAAAGCATGAACACATGAAGTTAGAGACTCCACCCTTAGAACATGTACAACGGAAGCTCGAGACTCCACCCTTACAACATGAAAACCTGAAGCTCGAGACTCAACCCACACCTGTTCACCTAAAGCTCGAGACTCCACCCTTAAAGCAAATACACCTGAAGCTAGAGACTCCACCCTTACAACATGTACACCTGAAGCTCGAGACTCCACCCTCACATGTAAACTTCTACCCACCCCAGCTCCTTTCTATCCACGTAACACATTAGGCCTTATTAACTATCTCACCGACTCATTGAAATCAACAGAGCATACATGTACGAGGATGTTTCCTGATACAAATGTTTGATTTAGAAATAGCACTGTGGTGTCATACTGGCAACAGGTTTGTAAATATGTTTACGCTAACTTCTATGCTTGCGTTGAAAGCTATAACTGGTATTTTTGATATTTTATTTTTGGCTTTTTCAATTCTAAACGTTAGCAGCATTGGGCTTACACATACTTATTGTTCTGCGTGCCATGCTGCTTTATTATTTATAGAAATTGATAAATAGCAAAGCGTCATAATTTATTATTTATCTTTTATTGTTTAACATTTCGTTGATGTTTTGGAAGATGTTTATGTTTTTCGTGTTTCACACTTCGTTGATGTGTTTGGTATTTTTATCTGACTTCTCCTTCATCATGCCGACACGCCAAACGGTTACACAAAGCGGCGTTCCACCATACTCACGCACTAAAACATAGCTTAATCGTTTACACTCGTTTAGTTCTCGCTGCCGCTAAACAAAGATCTGAGTACACCCCATTACGGGTCACCTCAGCCCGACCTTTCGCGAACTTTGACCGACCAATGGAATGACTGAAAAGAAGTCGACATTAGCCAATCAGAAGGCAGTTTTCTCGTGCTTTACGGCACTAATTTAAATCGCTTCGAAACATATTTTGACAGATTCTCGATTAAAAATTTGAAACTTGAACAAAATAACATTCCAGACTGGTTAATAAATGGTCTAGATTGTATGGATTCAGTCGTTAAGTCTCTCTTGCTTATATTAGTATACAATATGACATGAACGCCTTATGTTTCACTGCCTGTGATACCCCTTTTGGTCAAGACAAGCCACGACCTTGTGTGCATTTATTGTCGACACCTTCATGATTAATACGAAGTTTGTTGTTCAGTATCAAGAAGAATGTCGTTTATTTGACTTGGTTTTCATCCCTAAGTAAACGTTTTGTTTTGGAGTTTTGCCGCCGCCGCTGCCGCTACACGTGAAATTTATTTAAAACCCCGTTTGGCGTGGACGTCTATGGACATCACAACACCTTAGGACGACTCTTTGATCCAATGACCAGTCACGTGGTCATATTTCACTGGTCAAATGCCCTTTTCAGCAGACTTTGTGTAAGTTTGTGCATATAGTGGTAATATTGTTTGACTACTTAAGTAAAGACAGCCTTATGATATCAGTAGTAGATGACTTTTACCTTCTTTCAATGCGTGACAAATGCTATATGTTTCGTGTAAGGGAAGGGGCGGTCGGGTAGCCTAGTGGTTAAAGCGTTCGCTCGTCACGCCGAAGACCCGGGTTCGATTCCCGACATGGGTACAATGTGTGAAGCCCATTTCTGGTGTCCCCCGCCGTGATATTGCTGGAATATTGCTAAAAGCGGCGTAAAACCATACTCACTCACTCACTCGTGTAAGGGACATCGTATTTGATTTATATTGAACTGCTCGTGAAACACTTGTCACTGATATTGACGTTCAAATTCACTCTCCAGCTCACACACTCAATCTGGTACATCCTGAGGGCGGGCCATTAAAAAACATTATGAGCGGCTTAGATGAAGGTCAAATTCACTAGAAAGGTCTTTCGTAAGGTGATGATGCATCTTTGAGTTGTGACAGGCACAGCACTGTTGAATCGACGTTGAATCAATGTTGTGCTTCAAGGTTGAAATAAGTTTGATTATCGGTTGGATTTGAAAGTTGAACTGATGTTGAACTCTCGACGGTGAATCAGCAACAGATATCAATGTTGAGACAATGTTGAATTTTGGTTCGATATTGGTTGAATATTGATTGAATAGTGGTTGTATTGATACAAACAGCTCTGTAGCACTATATAATCAGGTCAAATGGACTTTTGTACGTATATATCATCTTTAAAGTGGGGCATTGAAGTGGTCAGGTTTTGAGCGACTTTACTTGAAGTTCAAATGCCCTGGAATTGCCATTCCTAAAGTATTGTGACGCTTCTCCGTGGACTGAACTAACCCTCTGTGTTTGCCAGAGATGTTTGTAAGAGCAAGAACCCATGTTTCAACTCGAAATAATCGCGGATGTGATTGGCTAAAATTGAGTTTTAACAACAGTGCAATCGGAATTGCATATATTTTTCTTATTAAGTTATCAAGAGGCATGGTGTCATTAAACCTGAAGTGCTTATAACTCTCAATGAAGGTAGCAAAATTTGAGCGCATTTGGGAAAGTGATTAGGCAGGTCTGCTTCTGTTTTTGTTTGTTGTGCAAACACATTTCTATTTTTAGTTTTGACATGCACAGAACAAATGACCCAGAGTAGCCGGATGCTTGGGATGCAGTCAAGTATAAACTGTAGAAAGCGAGGTACAATGGCAACAGATGGTCCACTAATGGAATCGGGAGTTGCAGCTTTCATATTTGAAATAGCTCTGCCATATTACTTTGCATGATAGATCTCTGAAGTGGATATCATACAGAAGGTATGGTTATCCCTTTTTTTAGCACTTAAACGTGAAAAAACAACCCCTTAGCCCAAGGATCATTCCACTTCAACATTGTGATCATGTGTTGGTGACAGGCCTTGGTCTTTGAGTGAGTGAGTAAGGTTTTACGCCACTTTTAACAATATCACGACGGGGGGCACTCAGAAATGGGCTTTACACATTATACCCATGTCGGGAATCGAACCAGGTCTTCGACGTGACGAGCGAACACTTTAACCACAAGGCTACTTGACCGGCCCCTTGGGGTTTGAAGAAAACCATGTGCTTGTAAAGAACTTAATCAAACAATGTTTTATTATTCTCACACCTTGCCGTCACTTAGTCAGTGTTGTTTCTTGGTCTTGTGTGGGGTGTTATTAAATACTTGCAATAAATTTCACTTTCATTTCATACGGGACTGTACGTAATAACATCTTCGTCAGCGTTGGTGGAAATCCATATTTCATGTGTTCATATTCTGTATGTCTAATGTTCACGTGACTATGATGGAACAGTCCGGGGGCAGTCTGACCCTTATATGAACGTTTCTAGATATACAATTTATGCGAGTCATCTTATATTTTTTAACCCATAAAAAACCGTCCTTCCTGTTGTATAGACATCAGTGGTTATGCAATTTTAAATAAATAATTCAACATCACCGGGGTACCCCTCAACTGCAGTACAAGGTATTACGTTGGTAACGGACGAACCAAGCAGACACGATTCAAAAGGTCCAACGGATCTTATGATATGCCATCTGTCAATCCGTCCGAAACATTCGTACTTCACTCCGACTTGATACCGTTCATTGTTGACGGAGAGAGGTATCGAATTGGGGAACAGTATCTGATTTTAATGATGCATCTGCACCAAATGTGATTGTATTTTACAGGGATGTTTGTGACAATAACATTGTATTAAATTGTGCATGAAGGTAATTGGGATGTTGCGTCAATGCCCTGCCGTCCTCGCTTGGCAAGCAGGTAATAATCAAG